CCGAGGAACAGAAACCCCTATGGGAGGAACTCACAGGCCCAGCAGCAGCATCAGGGAGCGGCAACGCTGGTGTTCGCTGGCTGGGAGCTGGGGGAGGCACCGTTCAGAACGGCCCCACAGGAGCATCGGGCCCGGGACAGACTGTTCTAAGAACAAGAACCTCTTAGCTGTGGGGAGTGCATGCACGCTATTTGCGAAATAACAAAGGGAATAGATGGAGGGGCGGAGAGCTGTCCGGAGCATTGTTACTGCTGGAGCCCCCTCATCTGCACGATGGCTTTCTCATTAGGCCAGCACGCTTCCCTCTGGCTCTCATCACTCAGATCATGGGCCCATCCTAGCCTTACCCTTTCTTCCTGTGTAGACTCTGGGCAATGTAGCAAGGCCCTATCTCTACAAAACAATCAAAAACTTAACCAGGCATGGTGGTGCACACCTGTGGTTCCCCCTTATTGGGGGGGGTGCTGAGGTGGAAGGATCCCTTAAGCCCAGAAGGTTGAGGCTGCAGTGAGCCGTGATTGTGCCACTGTGCCACTGCACTCCAGCGTGGGTGACAGAGCAAGACCATTCTTCAAATAAATAAATAAATAAATAAATAAATAAATAAATAAATAAATAAAAGTAAAAGGATCTCTTCTGTCTTCTGAGCTGACTCTTGGGATTCTAGAGCCAGAAGGCGCCTCAGGGCCCATTTATTCCAGCCCTGTCATTGGGGGCGAAAATGAGGCCAGTGGAGGCTAAATGACTCTCCCAGACCCACGCAGTCATTCATCACGGGGGCTTAGGCTGGCACTCCGGCCTCCTGCCTCCCAGGCCCCTGTCCTCTTCTTGCATTAAGCCCAGAGCAGTTCATTAGGAAAGCCATAAGTCTCATGGTCTGAATTTCTTCTCTTCCCTTATTGGTTTTCTTTAAACATAGAGAAGGGGTAAAGGGGAAAAATGATTCACTTAGTTTCCAGACCACTTATTTAATCCTGCCTAATTCTGAGCAATAATTCATCACCTTCCCTGACTTCCACTCCTCACTTCACTGTTGCAGCCAAAGCTAACTAATGCATCTGTGCTCCCTGGGAAAGAATCTCTTCCTATCCTTAGTCCAAAGTCATAGTCCTAGTCCAGAGGAGAGTAAAAGAAACACAGGAAATACAAGTCCCTCAACCCCACAGTTTGATTGTACTTGCCAATAAGCCACAGGAGTAAAGGAGGAATATGGGCGATGAGTAGGTACTGAGCGCCTACGATGGGCGGCTGGCTCTGTGTTAACACTCTGCATACCCCCTCATTCAGTCCTCTCTAACCCTGGAAACCAAGTGTTGTCCACCCTGCTCTGCAGATGGGGTCACTGTGGCAAGGAGGGTTATGTAAACTGCCCAGAGTCGCACAGAGAGCAAAGGGCATGGCAGGAATCAGAACCTTCTTTCTCTAGCTACAAAGTCTGGTTCTCCACTCCACCATGCCCAGTGAGCTCTCTATTTTCAAGAGAGGCCGTGGAAGTCATCACCACGTCCTCCTCCTCTTCCTCCTCCTCCTCCTCCTTCTCCTCCTCCTCCTTGTCCTGTCATACTGTGCCTCTTGCCTGAGTCCAGCCCTGCCCATGAAAGCCTTGCGTGTATTGACCCTCACAACCAAGCACGGTGCCTCTGACGTGGGCAGCTCCAGACTGAGCTTCTGCATCAGACAAGCAGGAGACAGATGAGGAGTGAGCCGGGGAAACCCAGTGTTTGTTACTCTGAAAATGGAAGCTGCCCCGTGACAGCATCTTCTCTCCCGTTGAGTAATCCCTGCATGAATAGATGGCAGCTGCAGTGACTGCTGGTCATATGTGAGCTATTCTGGGAGGTGTCGAGCGCACCATCCAAGAACATGAAGTCGCTGCTCTGTCACAGATGGAGAAGCAGACAATTGTGGATGTTGCAGGAGCTGGGATTTGGCTGGATCCCCTGGAAAGGTTTTATTTCGAGTTCAGAGCCTGTTTGGTTGCCAGAGTAAACCAAGTGGTTGTATGATAGAGGAACTCCAACCCTCACCAGCACTCTGACCCCTCGTTCCAGCTTTCCAGTGAGGCTCGAGAGCCCTGAGTTCTTTAGAAAATCTTCTCTTGGCACACTTTGAACCGGAGAGCGGTGACGCTCTTGGCAGTACTTTCGGTATTTGTTGGTTGTATCGCTTAAGTCGATCAGGGGAAAAAAAAATACAAAAAGAAGAAAGCACTGGCGAGGGACCCCTTTTAAACATTTATAGTATTGAGAATTTATCGTTTTGAGAATCCTTCACCTGTTGGTGGGAGGGCAGAGCCAGAGAGGAACATTGGCTCATTCCATCTTTTTTTAAACAGAACAATTAAAAGAAATTACCCTTCTCCATAGCTTGCAAACCTTGTCACTGCTTAGAGAACATTGGGATTAAAGGAAAAGGAGAGACTGAGCCAGACTTGACTATACTCAGCATCTCTACATCCTTGTCTTCGGTCTAAGGGCTCTGGGAGGGGGCAGCATCAAAGTACGCCATCCCCTCCCTGCTGTTGCATTCTGCCGTCCAGCCCAGCTCTCTGCCCCTCTGGCCCTGGCTGTCAGCTTCCACACAAGCTGCTGCTCTTGTCTAGGATGGTCGAGTTCGGTGGCAGTCACCCTGGAGCAGGGACCAGGATCCAAGTGAAAGTAAGTTTCAGGAAAAGTTTGAGTCATGTTTCCAGTTTGAAGAGCCAGGCTGAATCTCTCAGAAGGGGAGCTGATGGGCAGCAGTGGGAGAGTGGAAGAGGTGGGCCCTGGGCACAGCATGTACCGTGATATCGTTCATTACCTGCCAGTGACTGTCTTATATTCTATTTGCTGGGCTGTCTTATATTCTGTTCGCCCCTCTTGGGAGGTAAGCTCCTGGCAGGCAGGATAATCTGAAGCCTTCTGGTGGGCCCTGTAGTGCTGCACTGTACTAGGCAAACAGCACATGTCAGTGTTCTTAGGGAGGTACAAAAGTGGGAAAAATTAGGTGCTGAAGAGCAAATCTTGGGAGAACATGAGGTTCCATGTGGGGTGTGGCTGACGTTACCGCCAAGCAAGTACCAGCCCCTCCTGCTGTCATTGGCGTACTGGGGAACGGTCCTCTGCTCAGCCGGCTCCTGGATTTCTGCAGGACGTCAGCAGGCTGCTAACTCCGGGATGTGAGCTGGTTGAGGGCAGATCCTGGCTCCCCTTCATGTGCTTATCTGTGTCTAGCCCAGTGACTGGAACATGCTGCTTGTCAAATGACTAAAGGAATCTATGAATAAACTGGTGACAGTGGAAGCCCTGCAGGTTCAAACATTCTAAGATTCCTACACCAAAATATTTTTAAAATTCAAGCGGTATCCAGGGACCAACTCATTTAAGCCAGTACCCCAATGCAATGAAACTGCACCACCAAAAAACTTTTTTTTAGAATCTCTCTTCAAACTCCTTATACTGGGATTTGACCTCTCAGACTCAGTAATGGGCAATCTCATTTACTTTGCCTATGAGTAGAAGCTGTGAAGTACATAAAAGAGAACTTTTATTTGCTTCTAAAACTCCAGGTAGTCAGTGCAGCCTGTTGTCTCCTTTGGGGCAGTTTCTTGTCCTGATGAATGTGCCTGATGAGTTGGGGGAGGGCAATAGGGCAATGGCACCGTTGTGGTGCCCACTCCGGCCCCATGCCCTTACCCTTCCTTCCTTACCCTGGCAGCCCTCTCACTTCCCCGGCCAGCTGTCTGGCTTCCCAGACCACCTTTAATGCCATTATAAGCAGGAAAGACATTAAAGCGTCTGTGCCCCAGGCGCAGCCCACCCCACTCACTGTCATTCTTCCTCTCCAGCCGTGCCTTCTGTTGGTGGAAGGGCAGAGCAAGAGAGGAGTGTGGGCTCATTCCATCTTTTTTTTTTTAACAGAACAATTAAATTACCCTTCTCCGTAGCTTACAAACCTTGTCACTTCTTAGAGGATGATGGGATTAACGGAAGAGAGTGACAGTTAATAGTTGGGCTCTGAAACCAGATTTCCTAGTTTTTGTTTTCTTAATTGAGGAAAATTTTACATAACATAAAATTAACTTTTTTTTTTTTTTTTTTGGAGTCCAGGGCTGTTGCTGGGGCTGGAGTGCAGTGGCGCAATCTTGGCTCACTGTAACCTCCGCCTCCTAGATTCAAGTGATTCTCCTGCCTCAGCCTCCCAAGTAGCTGGGATTACAGGTGCCCACCACCACGCCCAGCTACTTTTTTGTATTTTTAGTAGAGACAGCGTTTTACTATGTTGGCCAGGCTGGTCTCTAACTCCTAACCTCAGGTAATCAGCCAGTTTGTGGCCTCGGGGTCTTTCTGATGACATCAACTGACCAGTGTGTCTTATCATCGGCCATCCAAATAGAAGGACCTACTGCTGTCATCTCCATGTATTCCAGAGTTACTCAGCTGTTCCATGCAAGCCAAGTCAACACCAATGTAGTAAAGAAGAGACTAAACTAATTGTCTGCACAGCACATACATGGCATGTATGGCCTGTATGCTTCCTGGACAGCCGACAGGTGCTGCTGAGGGAGGGAGTCCTTCAGCCTTGCCTCAAGCCTTGCTGACGGCAGTGTGCCTCACAAACACAGTTACCTTCCACTTGGGTTGACCCCTGACCCTGTCTGCTTGTTGGAATCACGTGGAGAACCTGGGACAGGCTCAAAAGCGCAGGCCCCACCTCCCACCTGCTGAATCCAGATCTCCAGGGTGTATTAGGAAATCAAATTTGTCAGCTTCCCTCCCAGGTGACATTGATACATCCAGTCCAGGAGAAACCAGCAGCCTCCATTCGTCAAGCTAATGTCTCCCTGACTATCACCTTCTCCCCCTGTGAAAGATGCAGATTGTTAGCAGTAAGTGGTACCTGGATCCCAACCTCAGTTCTCCACTGCAGCTGGGGAAATCTGGCTGGACAAGCCACACTGCTCCTGCAGGCACAGCCTCGTCCATCCCGCACTCACCTGTGTTCTCTTCCCCACTCTGTAGGACGCACAGGACCAGCCACTGCTACCGCATCACCTACCGCCATATGGAACGGACTCTGTCCCAGAAAGAGGTCAGGCACATCCATCGGGCTGTGCAGGAGGCTGCAGTCCAGCTGTTGGGTGTGGAGGGCAGGTTCTGATGTCACCGCTCCACCCAGGCCGAAGCCCTCTTGGGGCTCCAGGATTTGCTGAAAGAGAAAAAGATACGGTTTTTGAACTGGGGCATCATTTGTCTTTCGATAAATGGATCGGTTTTAGGACTTTCAGAAAATAAAAGATCACTCTTGAAAAGCTGTTGACATAGCATTTGTCTTTTATTTGGGGAAAGGGGGAAGGTCTTTTCCTATTCCTTTTAGAGTGCTTTGCCCGCTGGCATTGGTGCTCAGTATGGTTAATTGGTCCCTGGGTTCCATTAAGCACCAGGCATGATTTCTTGCCTGACAGGCTCCTCCACCCATGTAATGAGTGAAGCCACACAGAGGGACATCAGAAATTCCAGATACAATACAGGAAGCTTTTTGAATCAGCTTCCATTCCTTCCTCCCTTCTCTTCTTTTTCAGTTTTGCAAAGGGCAGGCTTCAAAGAGGGCACTAATGAAATGCCAGGTCTCCCCTTGAAAGTGAAGGGAGTTGCATCTTTGAGCCCGGGCAGGCTATCTATTTGATTTTCATAAACCCATGGCTTGGAGTCAGGCCTGTGGCCCCAGGACTTGGGCTTAGCTGCCTTCTGCCCCACTGGAGAGGAAGAGAAGGGGCAAGAGCTGCCCCAGAGTCTTGGAGGCACACAGAGGAGCCAGGTCCTCAAACTCCTTCAAGCTTTCCCAGCAGGAAGCCTCCCCTTCCAGAAGGCGACCTTTAAGGAAGAATATGGGGCTTTGATGTTCCCCCTTTTCCATCCCAGGCACTTTGTAGTCTGCCTGCCTCATTCATGACCAGTTTTAATAATCAGCCTCCATCCCTGGCATGATGCTGGAGGCTGATGGAGGACTGCAGGTGCTGGGATAAATATTTGATGCGGAGTGGCCATTATCAGCTAGCGGCATGGGGGTGGGCAGCTGCTTTCCTAAGGGAAGGAACAGCTTTAATGTCATCTTACCATGTGATTAATTTGGACTCTTCCCTTGGATTTGCAAGAGAATTAAGGAAGCCATACCCCAGGTCCCGCGCCCAATCCTGGAACCAAATCACTGTCTGGGGCTTTAGGGCCCACGGGTGCAATTCCCCAGGTGGATAGATCTGAGTGGGAAGGCACAACGTGATCAGTGATTTCCTCTTCAGCAGCATTTGCCAGCAGGCCATTTCTGATTCAGCACTTCAGGATGTCCCTTCATCCCCATGACTGGTTAGCCACTTATTAACGTTCTTTAAGAAAGCAAGCTAGGTGTATAAAATGCAAAACCGTGATGCTGTCCTGGGACCCAGAATCTGAGCAGTATTTGTCAAATACAGTCACATGTCACTTAAGAACAGTGAAACGTTCTGAGAAATGCATTAGAGGTGATTTTGTCGTTGTGCAAACATCATGGCGTCTACTGATACAAACCTAAACAGTATAGCATACTACACCCCTAGGCTACACGGCATAGGCTATTGCCAGAGGCTGCAGACCTGCACAGCATGTGGTATGACCAGGATCTATGTCCCCACCCAAATCTCATGATTAAATGTAAGCCCCAGTGTTGAAGGAGGGGCCCCGTGGGAGGGGATTAGATCGTGGAGATCAGCTTCTCATGAATGGTTTAGCACCATATGCTCCGTGCTGTTCCCATGACAGTGAGTTCTCATGAGATCCAGTTGCTTAAAAATGTGTAGTCCCGCCCTCCTCGCCACCTCTTGGTTCTGCTCCTGCCATGCAGGAGACGCCTGCTCCCGCTTTGCCTTCCTCCATGAGTGAAAGCTCCCTGAGACCTCCCCAGAAGCAGAAGCCACGAGGCTTCCTGTATAGCTTGTAGAACTGTGAGCCACTCTTTTCTCTGTAAATCATCCAGCCTCATGTATTTCTTCATAGCAATGCAAGAACGAAGTAAGACAGCACGTTACTGTGCGGAAAATTGTAGGCACTTGTAACAAATGTTATTTGTATCTCTAAACTGAAAAGTTACTGTAAAAACACTGTATTATCACTATCCCCTATGCCATCTGTTGTTGACTGAAATATCGTTATGTGACGCTATATTTGTTCCAAACCCTATACTAAGGTCCTGGAGTAGGGCTCACATTGCTGACATTCCAAAGGATTCACAGAGGCCTTTCTTGAACATTTCCCTCAACACTCCACGAGGTGGGATCGACTGTTATTTAAATCTTACAAGTGAGGGAACAGAGGCCTGGAGAAGTCACAGGAGTTGGCCATGACTTAAGCCGTGACTTCTTGAGGCCTCTGTTCCCTTGTCTGTGACTTAAGGTGCATATGCAGGAGGTGGCAGGCCTCACACTGAAGTCCACAGCCTCCACATTAAGAATGTCTGTCTATAGCCTGGACAACATAGTGAGACTCTGTCTTTACAAAAAATTTGAAAAACCACCTGGACATGGTGGCATGCCCCTGTAGTCCCAGCTACTTGGGAGGTCAATGTGGGAGGATTGCTTGTGCCCAGGAGGTTGAGGCTGCAGTGAGCCGTGATTATGCCACTGCACTCCAGCCTGAGCAACAAAGCAAGACCCTGTCTCAAAAAAAAAAAAAAAAAAAAAAAAAATCTGTAAACACTAGGGGGTTGACTGTAGGGCCTGTGTCTCTTTACCGCTCCCTAGACCTTCGTTCTATTTCTACGGGGGCTTGTGCAGATCCCCTCAGGGTCCACTCTGACTGACTAGCACTTGTGACAGAAGTGAGCTTTTCCCACCACCAGGGAGCCAAGGGGACATCCAGCTCTTGACTTTTTCATGCGACTCCCACAGGAGAATAAATAATGAAAGAGGGAAAAGCAAGGTAAACTCATCCATTAGATGAAGTCACTTTGCAGTTCAAGAAATACATGATTCCCATAGGAAGGACAGCATGGTGACCAATGCCAGCATGATGGCTGTGACCCTCCCTGGGAGGCCCAGTTTCCTCCTTTGTCAAATGGGGATGATAATAGCGCCTGCTGCAGAGCGTGTGGTGAGGGCAGTGTGAGACATTGTGCACTGCCCTCGCCGCAGAACCCGGCACCTGACAAGCCATCAAGAAGGGGCGCTGCTCTGATCATTATTCAGGGAGAAAAAGAGGGAAGCGGGAACCATCCAAACCAGAACAGACCCCATAGGGCATCTGCATGTCCCTTCGGTCTGCACATGAGGACACTGAAGCATAAAGGGACAAAGTGACTTTCCCAGGGGCACAGTAACAGTGAAGGACTCTAGAGTTGGGCCTCAAACTGAGGTTTCCAGAGCGTTTTTCCAAACACCACATTGAGGCAGAGATCCTGAGAGTGTCTTTAGGAGGAAGGCCCCCACGGGGCTCAGGACGGGCCAGGCTGGGGCTGCAGCACCTCGGGAAATGCTGGAGAGTCTTTCTAAAGGGCCCTTGAGCTTGACTTGCAGCTCTGTGGCCTTTTGGAGAAGTTTCCCTACAGTCCTGTCATCTGGTGCTTCAAGACACAGTGACATGAGAGGACAACCTTACACAGAGTTTCCCTCCTTGTAAGGATGGTCTAAAAGCCCACATCCTGGAGTTGAGGACCTGGGATCCTTCCAGCACATGTGTGAGCTGTCCCTATGATAAGCCTCTGAGGATGCTGGCAAGACGGACCAGCAGGCACTAGTAATTGGGAATGTCGTGAGCATAAATTCTGTGACCAGTGGAGCCTCACGTAGAGCAGAGGGCCGTGCAAGCTCAGCAGCCATTTGTGTCTTTGTCCCCTCCCCAGGTTGCTCTGCTCCTGGCTGTGCCCATGTCCTGAACAAGTCGGCAGAGCTCCACGGGTGCCTGATGCTCCCAACAGTGGCTGGTGGTCAGGCAGCCAAGCAATGGGAAAGGAAGCCCCTCAGCTCTGGAAGTTCTGTTTTTTTCATATATAGGAAAAGCAGGTGAGAACTTTGTATGGTGGCCTTCAAATGCTCCACGTGCCCCATATGCCCCTTCAAATGCTTACCCAGACTACCCAGTGGGCATCTGTGTGTTCTCGGTTCTCACGGCGGGAGCTCTCCACACTGCCCACTGGCCATGATGACTTGAGGAGCACTTAGTGGCTCCTGGCCGGGGCTGTCTGTGCTCTCCCCATCTGCAGGGAGGCGAGGCACTACTGTCACCGTAACAGGGATGTTAACAGGGATCACAGCAGCTGCTGTTTGTGGTGAGCAGGTGCAGCGCCCCACAGTCTCAACCCCAGAGAGTGGAGCTGCTCTGTCTTATGTGTGAGAGATAGAGCCATGAGCAGGGAAGACAAGGCCCAGCCCTGGTGGAGTCCACATGCACGGTCTCATTCCACCCCCTCCAGCAGGCCCCCATGCTCCCCGTTCTCCAAGTGAGAGGTTCACGTGTTCAAGGAGCCATTGCAAAGTCAAAATTTAAGAAGACCTCACATCCAAGTCTGCGGTCGTGTCCTTGCCTTGTACTTCCCTGTGCACTTGCCCAGCACACCCACAGCCAGGGCTAGGGATTCACTCCGGACCAGGGTGAAAGCAGGTGGGCCACCACTATGGTGGTGACATCCACTGCATGGGGCTTCAGCTTCCACGACAACAGCGGTAGCCACAAACAGGCCATGGGACCCTTTTGTAAGGTGCCAGGTTACGGGGCATGGGCCCTTGGGACCAGCTGTGGGTTCTATGTCAAAACCATTAGAAGTCCCACTTTAGACCGGGCGCGGTGGCTCAAGCCTGTAATCCCAGCACTTTGGGAGGCCGAGGCGGGTGGATCACGAGGTCAAGAGATCAAGACTATCCTGATCAACATGGTGAAACCCCGTCTCTACTAAAAATACAAAAAATTAGGGGGGCGTGGTGGCGCGTGCCTGTAATCCCAGCTACTCAGGAGGCTGAGGCAGGAGAATTGCCTGAACCCAGGAGGCGGAGGTTGCGGTGAGCCAAGATCATGCCATTGCACTCCAGCCTGGGTAACAAGAGTGAAACTCCGCCTCAAAAAAAAAAAAAAAACAAGTCCCACTTTATCCTCAGATGTTCAAAGTAGTCAATAGCTTCACACTTGCAACTACAGTGACTTCGGGAAGGTAAATCAGATGTCCTGAGGGACAGAGGAAACTCTGAACTGAACAATCTTCGGACCCTACAAGGTGATGGTGTCCCCAGGAGGATGTAGCCTAGCACCCAGGAGCTGGGCCAGTGGGAGGGAGGAAATGGGCTTATTTCTGACC